CCCAGGAATCTAAAACCCTCCCTCCTGCACTATATTTCCAGTCACACATTCACCTGTGTTATCCTCCTATTTCTGTAGCTGCACGTGGCATTGATAGTATTCTACAGACAACTGATTTTGAAGTCCTGCTTGCTAATTTTTAACCAAGCTCCATAGATCTTGACTGCAGGACCACATTGACCTTCCTACTAATGTCTTGGTACCATGTCGACCTTAACCTTTGGCTGTTCACCCTCCCCCATGAAAAATGTCCTGCAGCCAATCTGTGACATCCTTGGTTCTGGCACCAGGGAGGCAAGACCCCTTGCAGGAATCATGCTCCAGCCACAGAAACGCATGTCTATTTGCCAACTAATGAATCCCCTACCACTACTGACTGCTCTCGCACTCATCTTCCTTCCCACATGTACAGCTGGGCTACCTGTGATGCCTCAATCCAGCTACTACTGCACTCCTTCAGGAACCATCACCTTCATCAGTGTCCAACACGGAAAAACAATTTGTGCATGGGTCACCAGGGGACCAATGCACTACCAGCAGTTTTGACTATCCCTCTGAACATGCTATCCGCATAGTTCTAATAAAACAAATAAGGGCTGAAGCAATTAGTACCTGGCTAGGATGAGAATAAATGATCCTTTTTGGGGTGAATGAAGATACGTACCCAGGATTGGAGACATCTGTTCATTGTAACAATATGGACTGACAAGGTTAGAATTTAGGGATGTGGCTAAAGGTGTATAAATTCATTATTTCTTGTATTCAGCAGAGTTTTCATTCTAGCTAGTCTAGAGTGGAATCTCTCTCTGTGTTTGCTTGAAAAATGGTCAAAAACCTGTACTCAGCATTCCTATGGTTGATCTTAGAAGTAACTACAACGGAAAAAGAAATCACATGATGCACATTTTTAGGTGTATAAAGACAATGCTGCTTTTCAAAGTAGTGAGGGAATAGTTGGAGATGGAGTGGCAACAAGAGCCTTTGACTCAAGGAAATTCCCCTGTTAGCATTGCAGAGGAAGAGGCTAAAAAGAGAGCTGATAGAGGGTTTCCAAGTAATGAGGGGCTGAATAGAGTAGAGAAGGAGAAACTATACCTGCTTGTAAGAGGAACAAGAACAAGACAGCACAGACTTAAAATGATTTGCAAAAGTAGCAAGGATGATATGCGAAAAAACATTTTCACTCAGTCAGTGGTTAGGGTATGGAACGCACTGCTTGGAAGCTTGGTGAAGTTAGATTCAATTGAGGTATCCAATGTATAAAATAAATGGATAAAAATAATGTGCAAGGGTGTGGGGAAGAAAGCGGGAAAGTGGCACCAGGCAATAATGCTCATTTGAAGAACTGGTGCCAAATAGCCTTGTGTGCTTTCTGTGTAAGACTTCTGTGATTCTGTGAATGTGAAAAGGAACACTTACCCCAACTATTTCAGAGATAGTAGTAGGAACTGCAGATGCTGGAGAATCTGAGATAACAAGGTGTAGAGCTGGATGAACACAGCAGGCCAAGCAGCATCAGAGGACAAGGTGTAGAGCTGGATAAATTTCTGAAGAAGGGTCTGGGCCCGAAATGTCAGCTTTCCTGCTCCTCTGATGCTGCTTGGCCTGCTGTGTTCATCCAGCTCTACACCTTGTTATCTCACTTACCCCAACTTTCTGCTTCTTGTGAGGTGACCAATCCTGTATCCATACTGATATGTTACCTCTATCCTATGTGCTTTTGTGTAGCAATGTTTTAAGTGGTACTTCATAGAATGTCTTTGGAAATCCAAATACAGGACACATATGGGGTTCCCCATTATACACCCGTCTTGGTACTTTCTGAAATAACTCTAACAAATTAGGCAAGCACATTTACCCGTTCACAAATCATGTTGATCCTACCTAAACGTATTGATTTCTAAATGTTCTACTGATACTTTCTTAATAACGGATTAAAGCATTTTATAACAAATCTTTGACCAACTGAGCTACGAAGAGGGAGGTTCCAGTTTCCTGTTGGCCCCTTTCCGTGCAGGCTGCAGCGACTCAGAAAGGTAGTAATTTTCATTTAAAAAGTTGTCAACATGATGAAACTACTACAAAGGTGTTTGTGCATGCCATACAATAGAAGTAGCAAGAAACCCATAATTAATTAGTCACATTGAAGCTTGGCAGTCCTGCACAATTAGTCATGTATGGTGAACAACTAAACAATTAACCCAAGCAAGTGGGTTTAATATTCCCATCCTTATTAATGAGTATGCCTCGTACATTTTTATGCAAAAGACAAGGCTGGTCGGCTCTTTTCACACAGTGGTAGTGCCCCTACCTCTGAGCCAGGAGACCTGAGTTCCAGTTTTACCTGCTCCAGAGGTGTATCATAACATCCATGAACATAAGACCATAAGACATAGGAGCAGAAATTAGGCTATTCGGCCCATCAAGTCTGTTCCACTATTCAATCATGGCTGATAAGTTCCTCACCCCCATTCTCCCGCTTTCTCCCCGTAACCCTTGATCCCCTTACATTAAGAACAGAACAGCTTATGATCCTTTGATTATCAGTCATTTGTGAATTTGCATCAGGATCAGCAAGGCGAAGGAATGGTCTAATCTGTTTTCTGGGACATTAGTGATAATATTAAGACAGTAACACCTTGAAACCAGAGTTCTAACAGAATGGTTTGGAAAGGGTGTTCACATGAACTTTAATGGAGGAAATAGGCTAAAGGTAGATCCAGGTGGAAAAGACATTATAACCAGTAATTCAAAGCAAAGGGAAGAGAATAGAAGTCAAATCAGATACTTAGGCAATGCAGATATAGGTAGTTCTGCTGTAGTGTGTGTTTTGTTAACATGAATTGGCTGTAATGTAACTGATGAATAATGGATGCTGTTTGGATAACGCAAACTTTCTACTGTATATGTATAGCAATTTTCTATAATAATTTCCCTATAATGTGATTTTCTATGGCACAAGGTTATGCAAGAATGCAACTACCATGTTATAGGAGAACTACCTGTAATCGGAAAACTAAAAGGTTAATAAATTTGCAGATAACATCAACATTGAAGGAAACATTCAAGTTTCAGAAAAGATTTACAAGGATATTGCCAGGGTTGGAGGGTTTGACCCATAAGGAGAGGCTGAATAGGCTGGGGCTATTTCCCCTGGAGTATCGGAGGCTGAGGGGTGACTTTATAGAGATTTATAAAATCATGAGGGGCATGGATAGGGTAAATAGACAAGGTCTTTCCCCAGGGTGGGGGGAGTCCAAAACTAGAGGGCACAGGTTTAAGCTGAGAGGAGAAAGATTTTAAAAGGGACCTAAGGGGCAACTTTTTCATGCAGAGGGTGTGCATGTATGGAATGAGCTACCAGAGGAAGTGGTGAAGGCTGGTACAATTACAACATTTAAAAGGCATCTGGATGGGTATATGAATAGGAAGGGTTTAGAGGGATATGGGCCAAATACTGGCAAATGGGACTAGATTTATTTAGGATACCTAGTCAGCATGGACGAGTTGGACGGAAGGGCCTATTTCCGTGCTGTACATCTCTATGACTCTAATTCGGTAAGAATAATAAGTGCTGACTTTGCCAACAATGCATATTGTCCATGATTGAATAAAAACAAATTACCGGAAGTCACGGCAAATTATTTATTGTGCCTACCGGAATCAAGTCCTTTCCTAGGTACAGCTCTTTTTTAAAAAATTATGAGACGGAAGCATTTGTCTAAACTTTTACATTTTCATCGACATTTTCTTTTGCTTATCGATCCAGTAGCCAGAAAATTAGGGCGGATACTGAATATCGCAACGATTACTTTTCTCGCCGCCGTCTTCTTTTAGTTAGTTGTGGGCACCTTCAACAAACTTAACGTTGTGATGTCTTACCTTGACTCCTTTTCGTCGCGGTTCAGGCAACTAAATATTTTTTTAAAAATCAGATATTAGAATGTGAAAAAAAATCACAAAAATGCTTCCATCCTCGTTCGGTAATTAAGGAAATTGTCACTTGTCCCGGATGTAATGTTAATTTGTATTTTCTGCAACCGGATCAACGAAATATAGGAATATCAGGAAAAAAATGGTACCGATAAACGGTAGAAACATACTACAAACACCGTCCAAAACAAACAGTCAAATAATGGAACACACAAAAAAAATGCTGAAGAAGCTCAGCAGGTCAAATAATAGAAACAGAATAACAGGGAAGAACAAGCGAAAGTTTCTCCAATCATGACACAAAAATGTGCGCAACAGGCATAAAGAATCTAACTGGATTGAAATTGTAGTTAAAATTTAAAATGACAATCGCCTTTTTTTTTCAAATGTAAAATTGAGTACACTAACCCCAAAAGTTTCTGCAACAAATTTCTGATTCATCTTAACAACTTTCTGCATTAGATATATTTGCTCATTGGCATGTTCCAGTAAAGTTTTAATGTTAAAGAAAAATTAATCATTTATATTCAGTACCAACAACAGATGATAAAATGAAAAGGTCGTCATGATGTTAGAATACTTTTTAAAAGTTTCCTTGAAGTGTTTTCATGTTACACCATGTAAATAAATCAATTATAATATGTATGACTATGTCGCAAAAGTTAATCAAATTCTTTTTGTTTCAGAGATAGTAGGAACTGCAGATGCTGGAGAGATAGTTTTTCTGAAGAAGGGTCTCGGCCCGAAACGTCAGCTTTCCGGCTCCTCCGATGCTGCTTGGCCTGCTATGTTCATCCAGCTCTACACCTTGTTATCTCAAACTCATTTTGTGCTGTTATTTCATGGAAATGTTACCTCTTTATTTTTGTGATCAATTTATATAGATTTTCTTTGTACAATTGTGTAATTATGTTGCTGGCTAGACAAAAAAAAACGCATTTAAGTTGTACAAAAAACCCCGAAAGAACTGCTGATGCTAGAAATCAGAAACAAAAACAGAAATTGCTGGAAAAACTCATTAAAATTGTAGTTGCTGGGTGTGATCTTGTGAGGAGGACTACAATTCCCAGAGTGCTGAGAGAGTGGGTGCATGCCCAGTTAGAGCCGCGGTTTAACGTTTCAAAATGGCGGTAGATTTAAGATTAATGTGGGGAAATTGGGATTGTCAGTTAAACTGCCGTTCTCGTGCACATTGGGGAAATGCCGGCTGTTCGTTTCTGGAAGCCGTCTTGGTGTCTTAGCGATGGTGAGTTTTACTGATGCTGTGTGAACTGCGTTAGTAAAACCGAACAGTTTGTTCTATCGGTGATTGTGGTATATGCCAATACTGGCGAGAAACAGCCCTCCTCGGCTGAAAATTAGCCTGTTGATCGCATCTCTTGATTCCTTGGCTGTTTGCACAATGCTAACTGCAGTTGTTTTAATGTTTAATTTATGCATACGCTGTGAGAATGACGCCAGACTGATAACTGCCGAGAGGCTTTTGACATCAGTGTTTGCTGATGAAACCATCAAGTGGCAACTTAAAATGCAAAAGCCACCTTGATGAAACAGACGGTTACGGTAATATAATTAGCGCAATAAGATTTATGATGTTAGAGGTGATACATCGATTAATTCAATTGTTTGAACCACTTCTGATTAATTAATACGATTTTAAAACTTGTGATATGCTATTGATTGCTTAGGTACACTTGGAAGTAATGGAGTGGAGTAATGGAGGAATAGGCCTTCAGAAGTTGAATGTCGCACGATGGCTTTATAGCAGATTTTGAAGCCAATCTGATTACTGATGTGGTCGGATGTGGGTGCAAAATTTGGATAAAAGACAGTTTTCTAAGTGTTTTTCTTCTGAGTGGATACAAGTACATAGGATATTTGGCATAGAAATAGGCCATTTGCCCAACATGTCTGGTGTTTATGTTTCTCTGAAGTCTCCTCTGAGCATTCCTCATCTAAAATTGTTGAAATAATCTACTCCCCTTTTATCTTTATTTAGCTTCCTCTTAAATGTGTCTATGGTATCTCAATCAATCACTCCCGGTGGCTGTGCATTCTACGTTCTCACCACTCTGGAGGAAAGATTTCTATTGATTTTCTTGATTATAAATGGGGAGTAAAGTGTTCTCTCTTTATCCATTCTATCAAAATCTTCCAAGCATTTAGACAGCCTGTTGAAATGGATAGGGAATATATCTCAGATGTAAATTAATCCAGAGAACTGTGAAATTACAGAGATAGTAGGAACTGCAGATGCTGGAGAATCCGAGACAACAAGGTGCAGGGCTGGATGAACAGAGCAGGCCAAGCAGATTTCTTTTTCTAATTCTGTTGAATGCAGCTATTGCTTGCTGGGCCATTTGTTGCCTGTCGCTAGATGCCCTTGAGAAGGCAGGGTAGAGCTGCTTCCTTGAACCACTGCAGTCCACGTGCTGAAGATAGACCAACAGTGCTGTTAGGGAGGTAATTCCAGGATTTTTAGCCAGTGACAGTGAAGGAATGGTAATATATCTCCAAGACAGGATGAGTGGCTTGGAGGGAAACTTGCAGGTGGTGGTTTTCCCAAGTACCTGCTGCCCTTGTCCTCCTAGAAGGAAGTGCTAGTGGGTTTGGAAAGTGCTGTCTGAGGAGCTTTGGTGAATTTCTGCAGTGCATCTTGCTGATAATGCACACTGCTACAGAGATTTGTGGTGGTGACTAAATATTTGTGCTGCTTTGTCCTGGATGGTGTCAAGCTTCTTGAGGGTTGTTGGAACTGCATGTGTCCAGGCAAGTGGGGAGTATTCCATCACACTCCTGACTTGTGACTTGTAGATTGTGGACAGGCTTTTGGGAGCGAGGAGGTGAGTTCCACTCTCCAGCATTCCTACCCTCTGAGATTACAAGGTGTAGAGCTGGATGAACACAGCAGGCCGAGCAGGAAGGCTGACGTTTCGGGCCGAGACCCTTCTTCAGAAATGGGGGAGGGGAAGGGGTTTCTGAAATAAATAGGGAGAGAGGGGGAGGCGGATAGAAGATGGATAAAGGAGAAGATAGGTGGAGAGGAGACAGACAGGTCAAAGAGGCGGGGATGGAGCCAGTAAAGGTGAGTGTAGGTGGGGAGGTAGGGAGGGGATAGGTCAGTCCAGGGAGGACGGACAAGTCAAGGGGGCGGGATGAGGTTAGTAGGTAGGAGATGGGGGTGGGGCTTGAGGTGGGAGGAAGGACAGGTTAGGTAGACGGGGACGAGTTGGGCTGGTTTTGGGATGCGGTTGGGGGAGGGGAGATTTTGGAGCTTGTAAAGTCCACATTGATACCATTGGGCTGCAGGGTTCCCAAGCGGAATATGAGTTGCTGTTCCTGCAACCTTCGGGTGGCATCGTTGTGGCACTGCAGGAGGCCCAGGATGGACATGTCGTCTGAGGAATGGGAGGGGGAGTTGAAATGGTTTGCGACTGGGAGGTGCAGTTGTTTATTGCGAACCGAGCGTAGGTGTTCTGCAAAGCGGTCCCCAAGCCTCCACCTGGTTACCCTGATGCAGAGGAGGCCACAACGGGAACAGCGGATGCAGTATACCACATTAGCAGATGTGCAGGTGAACATCTGCTTGATGTGGCAAGTCTTCTTGGGGCCTGGGATGGGGGTGAGGGGGGAGGTGTAGGGGCAGGTGTAGCACTTCCTGCGGTTGCAGGGAAAAGTGACGGGTGTGGTGGGGCTGGAGGGGAGTGTGGAGCGGACAAGGGAGTCATGGAGAGAGTGGTCCCTCCGGAAAGCAAATAAGGGTGGGGAGGGAAAAATGTCTTTGGTGGTGGGGTCGGATTGCAGATGGCGGAAGTGTCGGAGGATGACGCGTTGAATCCGGAGGTTGGTGGGGTGGTACATGAGGACGAGGGGGATTCTGTTTTGGTTGTTATTGCGGGGAGGGGGTGTGAGGGATGAGTTGCGGGAAATGCGGGAGACACGGTCGATGGCGTTCTCGACCACTGAGGTGGGGGGGAAGTTGCGGTCCTTGAAAAACGAGGACATCTGAGATGTACGGGAGTGGAATGCCTCATCCTGGGAGCAGATGTGGCAGAGACGAAGGAATTGGAAATAGGGAATGGCATTTTTGCAGGAAGATGGGTCGACTGTGTCTTCCGCATTTCCTGCAACTCATCCCTCACACCCGCTCCCCACAATAACAACCAAAACAGAATCCCCCTCATCCTCACGTACCACCCCACCAACCTCCGGATCCAACGCATCATCCTCTGACACTTCCGCCATCTGCAATCCGACCCCACCACCAAAGACATTTTTCCCTCCCCACCCTTATTTGCTTTCTGGAGGGACCACTCTCTCCATGACTCCCTTGTCCGTTCCATACTCCCCTCCAGCCCCACCCCACCTGGCACTTTTTCCTGC